ATGGCAGTACCACGTCTTGTTTGTCCATTCATCAGCTGGTGGACATTTGAGTTGTCTCCAGTTTGGGGCTCTTATGAAGGGTGCTGCTATGGACATTTGTGTGCATGTCTTTGTGTAGAGTATGTCTTTCTTTCTCTTGGGTAAATTTCTAGGAACAAGATTGCTGGGTCCTATGATAAACTTATGTTTAACATTTTAAGAAACTGTCCAACTATTTTCCAGTGTGGCTGTACCAATTTCCCTTCCCACCAGCAATGCACAAGGATCCCAGCTGTCAACACATGGTCTTGTCTTTTCAATTACAGCCATCATGGTAGACGTGAAGTGGTATCTCTTTATGGCCTTAACTTGCATTTCCCTGATGGCTAGTGATGTTGAGCCTCTTTTTGCATGCTTACTCCTAGGTTAGGATTTGACTTTTTAAGGCGGGGCTTGGCAAACTTTTTCTATAAAGGGCCAAATAGCAACTATATGGAGCTTTGTGGGCCATGTTTGATTTATGTCGCATGTTCTGTTTTTTTGTTTGTTTGGTTTTTTCCCTTCCCAACTCTTAAAACATGTAGGACCATTCTTGGTTTCAACATATAAAAAAAGACAGGGGGCTGGGTTTGCCCCACATGCTGTAGTTTGCCATCCCCTGCTTTAAGTGGACACCTTTCTATGTAACATCAACTTGTGCCCAGCCACAGCCAGTACTAAGGCCCCTCTCTACCCAGCCCCAAAGGAATCCAGTGGCCCGTGGTCCACGCTAGACCAGCCACTAGACCACCCACCCTCCTGGCAAAGTGGGCTCAGTGGAGGACCATATTGCAAAGCCAAGAGCCAGGCTCTGGAAGCCTGGGAGTCAGGACTCTGGAGACATGCTTGTCTCAGCCCCACTGTGATTCATCACCTGATTAGCTCATCAGAGTTCCTGGGATGAGACATGCTAATCCGTCACCTGAGGAGGAGTGACTGGGCCCTGTTGATCCTGGACAGGCCTCCCTCTCCCTGCGGCTGCCCCTTCCCAGGGCTCAGAGGCTCTTCTGCGATCACCCGCACCCCATACCCGTGGCATCACAGCTGCATTCTCTACATGCTGCCCCCACCAGCCCCTCCCATGGCTCCTCCACCTGCTGGTTACCCTGCCTCCGACTCTCAGAGCCTTGTGGGTTTGTTCCTGGCCCTCGCCCCATGCTACCAAACATTCTTGACACCTTCTTCAGTGTCTCTTCGTGAATCTGTCCCCCTTTCCACCCAACTCAATGGCCCTGACCAATGTGATCAAAGAGCAGAAGCTTTGGAGTTGGCCAGAATCAATTTCAATGGCTGAATTGTCCCTTTCTAGCTGCTTGACTTGGGGAGTCACTTCACCTTTCAGGGACATACTAGTCCTATGTGTAAACAGAGGATGCTGGCAGTCGTATAGGGGAAGCTGCTCACCGTGGACACCTGGGACTCTGCCCAAGTGCATGGGTTTTCTGGCTCTGGGATTACTGTGGCCTGGTCACAGGGAAGTCAGAAGTATTGGCGGGTTATTGGAGTTGGTGCACAGATGCTCCCCAGGTTGGAGCACAGATCACAACTCTGAGGTATGGTCTGCACTATCTCCTAAAGCCCCCAGCAGGACTGAGCACTCCTTGCCCACTGTGGGTCACGCTGCCAGTGGCCCACTTGACAGTGCCCTATTAACTGACTGTCTTCTCTTATTGTCTCACGTCCCCACTCTCCCATACTCACTTCTCAAATCAATTGTACTCAGTCTTTTGTCGTAGGATCTGCTTCCAGGGACACTTAACACAAGGCAAGTCCCCAGCTCATAGAGTTCTCGTGAGCATTGAATAAGATAATGCTTGTAAGACCTTAGCACAGTGCCAGGCACATAGTACATGCTCATGAAATGTCAACCCTTGGTACAACCATTAGGACCTTCTGGTTGTAAATATGGCCTCTGTGAACCCTCTGCTGTGGGCACCTCTGAAGCAAGGGCTTGGGCACTCACGGCAAAGCTGTTGTCTTCTTGCTCTGAGAAGGGGCCATCAGTGAGTGCAGAGGCTGGTGCCTGGATGGTGAGGGCTTGTCTCTGAAGCCATGCTGGAGCAGGTGCTGCCCAGAGGGCCCTGCTTTGCCACAGACTCCTTGCCTCTGGGCCTTGAGTGACGTCTGTGGAGAGCCTGAGGCTGTACTCACAGCTGCCTACCCCCACGGGCTGGTTGTATCTTGCAAAATTTAAATGAGAGTTGGCTGGAACAGTGTTCACCAACTATTAATGCTGGCCATTTCTGGGTCAGGGGATTTTTGAGGCCTGATTTTATTTATCTTTTTTTTTGTGCTTTTCAGTATGGCTTAAACTTTTTACGGTGAGCATGCATCATCTTCACAAAAAGAATGAAGTCATTATTCTTTCAAAAGTAAATAACTTGTAGCTGACCAGAAGAGAGGGTACTTAGCACTCAGACCGTATTCAAGTCTAGAATCTGCTGTGGGAAGACACGGGTATGGGTTGTTGCAGTTTTCTTTGGGGCGTAATATATAGTGAATTTTTTGTGGTCACTTCATGGTCATTTAAAAATTAAGCAATTCTCTGGGTACAGACTAAAACCACAGACTCCAGAAGCTGTGAAAAAGAACATTCATCTTCTGGGATGGGTGGGGTTTCTGCACTGGGAAGTGTCGGAGCTATGTTAGGTTTGGACACTTCATGTTTTGCACAGACACGGTTGTGGGGTTCAGGCAGCACCTCCTGCTCTCCGCGCTGGGGCAGGGCAGCTTCAGCTGACGGTAACTAGGAACGAGTCTGGTTATGGTCCTCGGTAGACAGGGGTGCATCTTGTCATTAAAGTAATGGAGTTCAGCAGATAATCATGGTCACCATCATCCCCATCCACAGCCTGTTCACTGTTCACCGACAACTGCCACACCTCTCTTCCAATCCTTACAGGGTCTCATGTGATGGGCAAGTAGATGTTTCTAGTCACTCCCCTCCCCCACCTGAGGAAGACGTGTGTTTCTCCTCAACAGCTTGTTCCCCAGCTCTGCGGGTCCTCCGAGAAGCACTTGTCCTTTTCCAATCCTTGACACAGATGGGTGAGCAGGCAACGATCAGTGAGGCCAGGGAGGGTGGGCAGGTGTAGAGATGGAGAACACGAGCAGGCAGAAGAAGGCAGAGAGCAGAGGGACAGGCTGCAGGAAGGGTCTGGCAGGGGCAGGGGAAGTGAGAATCGCCTCTGCTGCGAGTGTGTGTGGGTGATGTGAGGGGAGGGACGTGGTGAGCAAGTAAGGGGCCCCACAAGGGCCTGGGGTGTGGAAGGATGGGGAGAGAGAAGATGGGATACAATTTGTATCTCGTGGGCTGTCCATTTCATCCCCTTTCAGCTTTTCAAAAGAGACAAGTTAAGTGTCAGGGTCCTTTTTTATTAGGGTTGTCCATTCAATTCGAACTGTGCTTTAGAACGTCACTCCATACAAAATGCAGACTGCATTTTTCAAAAGAGACAAGTTAAGTGTCAGGGTCCTTTTTTATTAGGGTTGTCCATTCAATTCGGACTGTGCTTTAGAACGTCACTGCATACAAAATGCAGACTGCAATACAAAATGCAGACTGCATGGGCCCAGGATTTATAAGGGTTATATATTGAAAGAGGCTGCAAGGGGTTTTCATGCTGTTACAGGAGAGGAACCTAAGGCTCAGCAGGTGAAATACTTTATAGGAAGAGCCAGGTCCGTCTGACTCTTCCTATAAAGTTCACCTCCCATTGCAGCATGGTGCCTTGCTCAGCAGCTGCTTCAACGTGATGTGGAATATGTCCTCCAAATACAGTTCTTCCCTTCTACTGCTGGGTCCCAAGACCACTTTGTAATTCTTAAGGCTCAGCAGGTGAAATACTTTATAGGAAGAGCCAGGTCCGTCTGACTCTTCCTATAAAGTCCACCTCCCATTGCAGCATGGTGCCTCGCTCAGTAGGTGCTTCAACGTGATGTGGAATATGTCCCCCAAATACAGTTCTTCCCTTCTAGTGCTGGGTCCCAAGACCACTTTGTAATTCTTAACTCTAAGTGGTCAGGGGACCCTGGCAGCCTGTGAGCTTCTGTGTAAGCCTTGACAGTCGGTGGGGTACCCTCACCTCCCGCTTCCTTCTTCTTCCTTCCCTTGTGTAGACTTTGGCTCAGAGATTGTGACATGTCACCCCAGCTGACTGCTGGTGCAGGGACACTAAATTAGGCTTTCCCTGGGGAGCAGAGCACTTAATGAAGGCATTCATCCAGTTAGAAAAAGAGTCTCCCAAGCAAGCCAGGGCAGCGGTGGGACAGACAGGCAGGGAGCATTTGGCTGGGACCTCCGCCTTCTGAGGGCCTCTGTTTCCATGATGTCAGAGAGGCGGAACTAACTCTGCCGCAGAGCCACGGAGGCAGCAGCCCCTGCCCCAAACACTGGCTGGCTTCTGACGCGGCACCCGAGTGAAGGTGAGAATGCTCCTGTCTCACCCGCCAGGTGGGTGCTGCAGACAGCGCTGGGTTTCCCGGGGCCATTCTGGGCTCAGTCCCCCCCTGGCTAGAGTCGAATTCCTGGCCCTGATCCTGTCTGTCGTGTTCCTTAGCTGAACACCTCTCTCGAAGGGGCCTCTTAGGATCGACATAAGCAGGAACAGTGCCTTCAATGCACAGAAAGTCCCTTTGTGGACGGTGAATGATCCCAACTCTTACTGCACTGGAATACTTGGGGAATAAGTTTGGCAGAAGACGTGATCTGAAAGAGAAATCTCTTAATTCTCTTTTTTAAGTTATTAGAAACTGTGGGAAATTACTCCTGTAGTGTTAGAAGACCTGGCTGTCTGTAGACGCACCCTGTGACTCTGACAAGACTCGTCCTTTGTTCTGTGTCACTTTCCTTTGGGGGGGCCATGTTGACAATTTCTCAGGGCCTTTTTCACCCTACTATGTCTGACTCTTTGATCATCTTGCATCTTCCACCCTTGTTATTGTCAGTAACACGTTCACATCTCTCTTTCTCCCCCAACCAGAAAAAGATTTACAAATACAAGAAAGTCCTGAGTAACCCAAGCCGCTGGGAAGTTGTCTTGAAAGAGATCCGAACTTTGGTGGACATGGCCCTGACATCCCCCCTGCAGGATGACTCCATCAACCAAGCTCCACTGGAAATCGTCTCGAAACTGCTCTCAGAGGTAAATCCCCACCCCGGCCTGATTTTGCACCACCCCCTCTTAGAGTATTTGTCTTCACTTCCCCGGAGCACCCCCCCTGCACCCGGCGGCATACCCAGGCATAACTCCATCTGGATCTATGGGGTCCCTGTTCCCACCAGTGATCCGAGGGAGCTGGAGAGGGAGGCTTGCCCCAGGCGCTTCTGGCTGAGCTGTCCAGGACTGTAACAGGGACGAAGGACGAGTTGTTGCCCTGCCAAGTCCCAAGATCAGACTCAAGGCAGGACATAGGGGTTGTTGGTCTTAGGCCTGGGGTTGGGCTTGGGTGGTGATGGCAGCAGCCGTGGGTCCCCCAGGAAACAGGAAAACAGGACACTGATTTCGGAATTCTCTAGTTCATTCCTGAGAGAAGCACACTGGTGAATCCCCTAGACTGCCCTTCCTTTCTGCTGCCGTGGCAGGCGGGACCGGTATTCCCAGCGCCACTTCCATCTTCCCAGAACTTCCCACATCAGCTCCGGGTGTGCAGGTGGACGTGGCTTTCTGCCCTAGTCCCCCACATGGCCTACAGATAAATGCTTTGTTTACTTGCACAGAATTTTAAAAATCAGGAGAGTTCACAACAAAATGGGAATTTCCAGATTTTCTTTAAAAATAATCAGAAAATCCAGCTGCACTTTGCGGCTGCTGCTACCTAGTGCCACCCGTGGGACAGGCCTGCCCTGTCTGCTTTACCAGGTAGTCCCACACGTCGAGTGCATCCTGTATGCTCAGCAGTCTTCCGAGCACTTGAATAAAGACGAGCCCTGGCCTTCCCGAGCTTACATTCTTGCAAGGGAGATGGCAGTAAGCAGGGACCTTAGTCACGGGGCAGTCCAACTGTTGGTCACAAGGCAAGAGATGCTTCAGAAGCATCCTTTTTTCTGTCCACTCCATTCCAGGCGCTGTTCTAAGTGCTTTACAAATATTAATACTTCTGTCATCTGTTTGTCTGCCTGGCCCCAGGGGACACTGGTGCTAATGACTCCTGATTTGAGCTACAGTTGTCCCTCCTTATCCGAGGTTTCACCTTCCATGGCTTTAACTGCCCGTGGTCAACCGTGGTCTGAAAATACTACATACAATAAGTTATTTTGAGAGAGAGAGAGAGAGAGAGTCCATGTTCACATAACTTTTATATCAGCATTTTATTATTGATTATTGTTTTACTGTGCCTAATTTATAAATTAAACTTTGTCATAGGTATGTGTATATGGGGAAAAACATGGTATATATAGGGTTCTGCTCTATCCATGGTTTTAGGTATCCACTGGGGGTCTTGGAACGTATCCCCAAGGATAAGGGGGGACTACTATATGCATGGCCACCAGAGTGATGCTTCTTCCTATTCTTTTCCCTGAGAGAGGCCCTGCTCCTCTGCCAGCCCCGGTTCCTGGGTCACTCCTCCTTGCCTAGAGCTTCCCTTTCATCTGCAGGCCCGGGCTGGTTGCTGCCCATGCACGGGAACCTGGCAGGGGCCCTCCGCATCTGCTGAGTGCAGAGTCCCTCACCCTCGGAGGTGGTGGGGGAAGGTAGAAAGTGGGTGTGGTGACGGTCACAGGCAGAGGGTTAAAAGTTGTGTCCTCAGCAGAGACACCAGCCTCATTCCACAGAAGAATAAAAACTCAGACCCTGAAATGACTCACAGAGTCTAGAATCCGAGGCCGAGTGCCGTATGCCCAACCTCGGATTCAGGCTTCTCATCTGGAGAAGGGGAAGACAGCTCACCTTTAGTAATCCAGATGGGTACCAGATGCCACACACAGCGTCCCTTTTAATCCATTCTCCCAGAGAGGGGGGACTTGCTGTCTTCATTTCACAGATGAGGAAAATGAGACCCAGAGATACTGAGTGACCTGCCCAGTTCATGTGGCAAGTCCGCGGTGGGGCTGGAAATCCCACCTTATGGCTGCCTGGCTTCTTCGATTTCAAGACTGCAATGCCCACCCCTTCAGCCCCACCAGGCTGGGCCACCTATGCCATCATTAAATCAGGCACATCATCAGGATGGCGACAGGGGTGGCAGGTGCACCCTGTTGCCTGCCTCAGGTGGGATTTCCTTTCCATCTCAGATAAGTTTCTGGGTGACCGCATGGCCATTGGCCTTCATGTCACTTCTTGAGCTTTAAAGCAAGGATCTCAAAGTCAGCCGACCCCCAAGTGCTAGGATGGAGGGATAAAGATATTCAAAAGAAGAAAAGGGAAGAAGCTTCCATTTGCTGTACACCTACTATGCGTCAGGCAAGGGGTCAGTGTTATCACTCCATTTCACTAAGAGCTGACATTTGGTGAGGGACATAACTCTCCAAGTGTCACTAACATTTTCTGGAGCATGTATTCTCTGACAATCAATTTGACAGGCCCTTAGACCTGCCAGATTTCTCCCAAGGACCCTGCAAGGTAACTATTGAAATGTACAGAGGAGTAAAGTAAGGCCCCAAGAGGTTAAGTAGCTTGCTCAGGGCCACTCAGATGAGTGGTGGGGCTGGTAGAGACTTTTTAGCGAGTGCAGAGACGAGACTGTATAGGAGAGTGGTTCAGAGCATGTGTTGTGGAGTCAGAGAGACCTGGTCCTGCCCTCAGTACTATGTGGCCTTGGACAAATTGCTGGACCTCTCTGTGCCCCAGTTTCACCTGTAAATTGGGACTGAGATGAGCACCCATTTCGTAGAATTGAGGATCGGTTGCTGTCCTACATGTAAAATCTTGGCACTGTACCCAACATCCAGGGAGCCTTTGATAAATGGACACAGTTTTACTGTTGTGGGAAATGGTTGTGATCTGTGCCCTCAGCCAGGGATCAGGAGGGGATGGCTGGAAAACCAAACACATCCTCTGATCTTCTTGCCCTGTTTTGTTCGGAATAGATGGGGCCACCTTCTTTCTCTGTTCTCTTTACTCCACTTGTTTCTGAGGCCTCCAGAGAGGCTCCAGGTATCACCAAACCAACTGCTAGGTGGAAGGATCCAGAGGGAGCGGGAGGAGGGGGCATCGTGGCAGGGACTGTGAAAGTGGTAAAACAGTTCTGAGAAAGAACTGTTCATCTACTGGCAAAGCAAAGCCAGGCGTCCCCAGCCTCCTGAGCCTTTGTTGAGCTGGATGTGTGGAGTGGCCACTCAGCCTGAGATTCGAGTGTTCCTCTAATGCATGGCTATTAGTGAGCACTCTCCACGTGGGGTCGAAAATGACCCAGGTGGAGAGAAGTTTTCCTGCAGAGTACTGCGGCTACCCCATGACTGAGACAAAGGAGATGGCTCCCATGGTCGCCAAGACATCCAGGAAAGGTGTGTGGGTGGCAGTGAGGGATGGACTGAAATATGGAACGGCCCCCTAGACAGGTGAAGCACTGGAGCTTAGTGGTTGGAAATACAGGCTTTGGAGTCAGTACAGGCAGGGGTTCAAATTCCCACTCCAGCACCTATTCCCTGTGCTCCCCCTGAGTCTCAGGGAGCTCATCAGTTGGTGTGGTAATAGGAAAACCTATCACAAGAAAGAGAAATCAGCAGGGTGAATGTAACAAACCTCTCACGTGGTGCCCGAGGCATAGCGAGCTTCACTGCCCGTCATTCGCAGAGACCAAAGCCAGGCTTTCATCTTCCCCAGCCTGAAAAGTGACCGATATTTAATAATCTACCATCAACAGGCTGCTCAGACTCCACTAAGGTCCGCAAAAGGAAAAAAGGTGTTAGAATCTGAAAAACGTCCTTCTGCATGTTCCTGGATACTAGGCATTGTGGGTCAGTCTTCACAGAGTTCAGGGTGTCCTATGGGGACCTATGGGGGCCCATGTTGCTTGGACTTTGGTTCCCAGGCCTCCCTCATCCCTCAGGCACCAGTTTATTGGGCAAAAGCAAATTCACACCTCACCAGCTTTACTTGTGCCTGGGCTGGTGTAAACGTGTTAGATACCCCTAAGCCCCTCAAAGCTGTCGGGGTGGTGGGAGCTGTGAGGCTTTTTCTGGAACACAGAACAATCGATGTTGCCAACCCTATTCAAACAAGGAGTTGCTTTACCAGCAGCAAACATGGCTCTGCTAGGAAATCCGAAATGACACCAGTCAAAGCCCAGGGCCGCCAAAGCAGACGGACAGAACGGAACACAACACAAACTAGCAAAAACAGTAGCTGGTTGTGAGTTTTCCCACTTTTCCTCGTTTACTGCGTATTCATCCTTTCCTCATTCACATGCTCACAGGATGGTGGTAACAGGTGCCGATTGTTTAAGAAAATTCCAGATCGAGGAGGAAAAAAAAATGTAGCAAGTTTAATCCATTCAACCTAATTTTGTTTTTGCAAGTCAATAGCTAGAATTTAAGTTTAGCTAAAACATCCTGGGCCCACTCATGGAAAACCAGTGTTCCTTGGGGACCTAGTTTGAGAACCACTAAAATATTACTCCTAAAAGGCTGCCTGGCACAGAGTTGAGACTCATAAAAGGTATGTTTCTTCACATTTGTTACCATCCTGCCTTCTGGCTTCTAAACAGTATTGCTATGACAAGGGCCAAATCTTCTCACGACAATCTAATGAGGTATGGTTAGCAGGATCTCCGCTTACCGAAGCAGAAACTGAGTCTCACTGAGACAGGACTCGTCCAGGGTCACATAACTCTCAAGTAGTGTAACAGGAACAAGGAACCCAACTAATGAGGTATGGTTAGCAGGATCTCCGCTTACCGAAGCAGAAACTGAGTCTCACCGAGACAGGACTCGTCCAGGGTCACATAACTCTCAAGTAGTGTAACAGGAACAAGGAACCCAATCTCCCTGCCCCGAAGCCTTCTTTTTCCCACTTCCTGACCCTGCCTTTGAGGGTGTTGTGATCTGTTTAGTTAAGAAAACGTGACAACTCCACTTGGTCTGAGAGGCTGAAAACATTTTGAAACTGTGTGGAACTTTGAAACCCGACTGTTCCATTTTCTTAATTTTGTTTTGTTTTGTTTTCCCACTGCTTCCTCTGTTCCGTCCTTTAGAACACAAACTTGACTACCCAGGAGCATGAAAACATCATTGTGGTAAGTTCCTCGAGATCTCTCCCCCTCTTCCCACCTCCACCCCCTGGAGCCCACAACCCTTCCCTGGTTTGAGTTAATTCTGGAAATGCCGACGTAACCCACCAGCACCCGTCCTTGCTCGGTTTTGTCTTTTCTTTCAAGCCAGATGTGCCTCTCTCCTGCCTTTGCATGTTTCAGGGCCCAAATTGATTTGGGGGGTGGGGGGAGTATAATGATCAGTCTTTGAGGTTTGCAGCAAATGTGTCTTACTCGCCTCCTCCTTCCTGAGTCTGCCTTAGGGAGTCAAAGGCAGGAGATGGCAGAGACTGTGTAATTTACTCAGAGGCATCCCCCTATTCACTGAAAGATAAACGGTCCCTTTCGTGCCCCAGGACACATCTCCTAATCAATCCACAAGTAGAACCTGGATTTAATTTCCTCTGATACCTAAAGTGAGATGATACTTTCTGGGATTCAACTACGATGTAAGCATCTTTGGGGTAAAATATCTTCCTGGGTAATTTTAAGCTATGAAATGTGACTCTCACTAGAGAGAAGAAAGAAGTGAAATTTCACCAACCAGGTATCAAGCACTGGGCTGTGTATTTGAATCCGCAGATGACTGAGACAGCCCCTTCCCCAATGAGTTCATCATCTATTGTAGGATGACAAATGTGATCATCACAAAAACAGAGACATGTAGCGTAGAGAGTAGTGATGAATTCACTTGGGAAAAGCAGCCAGAAAGGAGGCAGTGCTGTCTGAGCTGGGTTTTGAAGGATCAGTAGGAGTTTTCCAGGTGGTAGACATCCCGAGAGAGGAGACAAATATGTAAGAGCCCAGAGATGTAAAGCAACAAGATGTGTTCTGGAAGCTTCAGCACTGCTGGATCATAAAGCCTGAGAAAGTGGGAAGCAGGGAGATGGAAGCGAGAGGCAGAGCCCGGTGTGCCCAAGAGAGGACCTGGAACCAACCTGTACAGGTCCTGTGGCTGCAGCCTGTCAAACAAGAGCAGTACCCCAGTCATGGTGCTCCTCGGGCCCCTCTGAGCTGGATCAGGGCTGTGGGGGCACAGCTGGGTCCTGTGTGCACAAAAGGAGGTGACCCCAGGCCTTTTATTGTGGAGAGACTTCTGCCTCTACCCTAGGGCCAGTGTCTGGCGCATAGTAGGTGCTCAGTGTGTGTTTGCTAAAAATAGAGAGGTTTTCCCCATGCTCTGGCCTGACCACCCATTGCTTTCTCTTGCTAGAATAAGGGGACAAGTTGACCCGGACACCTCCAATCACCCACCATCACCTTTCTCTGGTACAATATGAATCAGTCAGTTCATTTAACAAACACTTGAGCGTGTGAGCTTACGTGCCAGACACTGGCTCTGTCCCACAGATAGAGAGCTCAACAGTATATGGGCCCTGCTGCTGAGGATTCACTCACTGTGTTGGGAGAAGCTGGCAGGTCAACAGACAATCAAAAAATAACATGGTCAAGGGGTGGGATTTGTTCTGGGTGTTGGGGGAGCACAGAGGGGAGGCACGTAGCCTCTCTGTCAGAGGGGTGCTGGGAGGAGGATGACAGAGGGCTCCCAGGAGGTGACTGAGCTTAACGGATGGATAGAAGACTGTTAGGTAAACTGATCGAGCAGGGAAAGGCAGTCCAGGCAGTGGGACCAGCATATGCAGAGGCAGAGTGGTAAGACTGCTAATGTAGAACCAGGAGGGGACACGCGTTCCCCAAAAGGAGGTGCCAGCAGCGCCTGCGGGCCCCACTGGGAGGGGGGCGAGGGCTTTGTATTCAGGACAAGCCTGGCAAAGGAATTTTGATCTGAGAAATCCAGGCTGCATTTATCCAGCTAGTTCGGCTGAACTGAACCCTTAATCTCCGCCAGGAGCCTGAGAACAGGGAAGGATTTGACCTGAGGGTCCGATCCTCGCCCCTCGGTGTTAAGCCTCTCAGTTTTCTTTTGTTACTGTTGCTGTTACTGTTGTTATGAGGTCTTCCAGAGCCTCTTTTCATTCCAACAAGTACATGATCGTATGGGACCTGTCAGCAATTAGTCTTCTCCCAACGGTGCTTAGTATTTTTATGTATTTATTTTTCCACATAGCCTGAGGTGGTTTTATTCGTTCCGTCAGCCAGGCATTTGTGCAATAGGGAACCGCTGGTTGGTAACAGGTAGGATGTCACTGGATGAGCTTGGATGTGTAGTCCAAACCCCAGCTGTGGTCCCGTGCACTGTAGGGGGCACTCAGTGTGGAGATGAAGAATGTGGGCTTCAAGTTCAGACCTGGGCTCAACCCCCTATGAGTGGTGACCTTGGGCGAGCAACTGAAGAACTTTTAATTTTATTTTAAAATATCTTTAATTTTGCAAGTATCTCATGAGTGTATTTTTTTTTTTTTTTTGTCTTTTTTCCGTGTCCGGCAACGGATCGCAACCCTCAGTGTCGCCCCCGTACCGGACCGGGGATGGCAACGGGATTGCAAACCTCGGCGCTGCTCCCGCGCCTCTCTCAGCCAGTGAGCGGGAACCGGTCTGTATGTGGGATCCGAACCCTCGGGCGGGAGCGCCACCCCGCTTCTCAAGCGGCGCACTTATCCAGTGCGCCACCGGGCCGGCCCCAACATGAGTGTATTTTTATTGTGAAAAAAGATCTCACCCCATCCCAGCACCCTCTTCAGAGACGTCCCTCTTTTCAGGGGATGACAGACCCACACAGATATGGTTGTGTTTTTATTTTTTGTTTTTAACATTAGTGATGAGACGCAGGATGAGTTGTTTTTCATTTATTTTTTCACTTACCAGTATATCTTAGAGATTCTTCGAAATCTTTTCATGTATATCTACCCAGGGGTGCTATGACGTTTAGGGATGAATGATTCTTTGTTTTGGAGGCTGTTCTGTACCTTGTAGGATGGTCAGCAGGGGCTCTGGCCTTGACTCACTAGATGCCAGTAGCACACCCATCAGGACAAAGATGTCTCTAGACATGCCAGATATGCCCTGGGAGGCAAAATCACCCCTGGTAGAGGACCACTGGTCTACCCCTTTCTTTCTACATGGCTCTTGAATTTTTTTTTTTTTAACCAGATGGTCATTTTGATCATTTCCAGCTAACTTAACACCCCAAGCCTCAGTCTCTGCATCTGTGACATGGGTATAACAACAATGCCTTTCTTGCAGAGCTGCTGGAGGGTTACTAAGGCACCAAGATGCTGAGCAGAGGGCCATACTCTTAGAAAGATTCCACAAACATATGAGAAATATGAGCTCTTTTTATTAATTATACATTTAAAACTTTCATCACTCTATGACTGGGGTGGGCCTGGTAACCTCCCTGACCCTCCATCTCCTCATCTGTACAAATGGAAATTACTACCACTTGACCTCACAGGGTTGTCATGAGAATCAAATGAGGTAATAGCCTTGGAAGCACCAAACTCATGCCTGACGCCCACTGCAGGCACCTCAAGAGTTCTCACCCAGTGTCCCTTGGCTCTTTCTCATAAAAAAGGGGGGCCTGGTGTGCTGAGGACTGAAGGAGCTCAACCCAGGAACAACAGCCTGCCCAAATCCCCTCCCACCTCTCAGCTGGTCCCAGAGCTCTGTCTGGATAGTGGAGGCGGCCTGCCTGGGCAGTGACTTGCAGGCTGGGAGGTGGCCACCCCATCCCACCGCCGTGGCCAGACCTCTTACTGTGTTTACTGGGCTGGCCATGCTGGGTCGTCTACACAGAGTTGCCTGGCAGCTGAGAGGAGGGTGGCCAGCACGTAAGGTGAGCTCAGCACACACTGCTTTGTTGGGGTGGCAGAAGGGGAGGGAGGAGAGAGCTCCCCACATCGGCCAGCGCTGAGCACACAAAGCAGCACCTCAGTCCTGGCTTCCTTGGGTGTTTTGTTTTCTTTTGTTGCCTGATTTCTAAGGGGAGGGAGGAGAGAGCTCCCCACATCGGCCAGCGCTGAGCACGCAAAGCAGCACCTCAGTCCTGGCTTCCTTGGGTGTTTTGTTTTCTTTTGTTGCCTGATTTCTCCTTAAAAGTAGTTGTTGCCACCAGGCAGGTTGTTTGTTTCCTGATTGTGTGGAGAGCCAGGACTGTGCAGTAGCACAGAAAATAACTCAGGTTCCTGTGTCAGGGACACGGGTTCAAATCCTGGCCCCACCACTTTCTAACTCTGCAGCCTTGGGCAGCTGGCTTCATCTCTCTGGGCCTCAGTTTTCCCATCTCATAAAAGGGGCAGTACTGATGCCTGCCTCCCAGCACGTAGTGCAGGTTAAGTCACAGTGCTGCCAGCATAGAGAGTGCCACATAATTGCTACTGCATGCATTGTGATTGTTGTGTTATTATCATCTGCATGATTTTCAGCCCATGTGGCTGTGGGGGGTTGTGACGGGATGGTGAGCTCATCCCTTGCAGGAAGCTAAGAGCCCCTCTGCCACCACCACCAATGCCCACCCCATGCTGTCCAGTAGAACTTCCGGCGATGACAGAAATGTTCTGCATTTGCGCCAGCCAGCATGGTAGACGCTAGCAACATGTGACTGTTGAGCACTGGAAACGGTGTTAATGCAGCTGAGGAATTATATTTTTAGCTTTATTTCATTTAAGGTCATTTGTTTCATGTCAGTTAAAATTTAAATTGTCACATGTAGCTGGAGGCTACCGTACTGGACAGCACAGCCCTAGGCACCTAAGACCCTGGGCCCGACCTCCAGCTGTGTCAGCCTGATTGTTGGCGCCCAGGAGCAGGAACCTTGAGTTAGCTGACTTGGTTTCCCACAGAAGGGCACCCACTTACATAACTGATCAACCAGTGTCCTCTGTTACTGGCATCCATTATCCTTTACCCGACGGTCCCAGGAGCAAGGGGAAGGCTTTGTCATAGAGCTGGCCTACGAAGCCTTGGTAAGAAGTGAGTCCAGGGAGCATTTGATATTCTAGCCTTCCACAGGTAAGATGAAGTGTATCTGGAGACATTTTCAGTTGTGACAGCTGGGAAGGGGATGCTCCTGGCATCGAGAGGGTTGAGGCCAAGGATGCTACTCCATATCCTGCAGTGCACGGGATGGCCACAAAGAAGGATCCACAGAGCAGGCTGGGAAGCCCCACTGCACACACGTGGCTCATCTGCCCTCACTGACTCTCCAGGCCCCACTTTCCAGGTGGGAAAGCCGAGGATTAAGAAAGGTGAAGCCACTTGCTCTAATGGTCACACCACCAGTAAGTGGCAGGATCAGGATTCGCACTCAGGTCTCTGCCCCAGCCTGCACTTACAACCACTATGACATCCTGCCTCTCAGGCAGGTGCTATTGACGTGACAGGGACATGGGTGGATATCAGCAGGTCACAACTCTCCTAAAGGAGGGTTTTTTCAGTGCGTATTTTTCTGGACAGTAGCTCAGCACTTTTAATCAGCTTATCAATGTGACCCATGCCCATCCCCCCAAAAAATGTTTAGGAGCCCCAGCCTGCAGATTAGAAAATGGGCCTTTTCTGCCCAAAGGACAGCAAGGAGGTTGTGTTCTCTGTCGTAAGTCAGCCCTCTTATGTAGAGACCTCCCAGCCCCACCGTCAGTTCCTTCTGAGAGAGTCCAATTGATATTTGTTCGTTGTCTTTCAGGCAATTGCTCCTTTGCTGGAAAACAACCACCCGCCGCCAGATCTCTGTGAATTCTTCTGCAAGGTACAGCATTGCTTCAGGGGACCTGTGTGTGCACAAGCACTGCCTCTGTGTGCTCACGCTCGGGGCTGGCTTTGTACAAAAAGGCTGAAAACCCAGGTCCCACCGACCTAGGTCAGAGTCCCAGATGCAGGTGAAGGGCATGCTGAGCGCCTGTTCTTAGGGTGACAGTGCCCCCTCTGCCAGACAGGTGATAGGTAAGAGCCAGGGTCCCGAGCCAGGGCCCCAACCTCGGGGTCAAGGAGGAGCATCTGGCTTTTCTCTGGAATAACTTCACAGCTGTCTTGGGAGACAGTTTGTAGCAGATTTTCTGGGCTCTGACGTCAGAGCTGGTTTATTAATAGCCACGGCTTCTCTGAGCTCCAGCTGCCAGTGGTGGGGGCACAGGCATGGGGCTTTCCCGGAACAGGGAAGTGGCAGGGTATGCCAGGTTAGCTTGGAGGAGCCACAGAACAGGGATCCGTACCAGCCACCTAAGTGGGACTCACACGGGACATGCCCTGGGCACACTGGGGCTCGCATCCCTCATTCCCAGAGTGCGACCAGGCAGCCCAAGGCTGAACCAGCACACAAACCTGTTCTGTTCTCTGCTTGTGTGTTTTCTCATGTAATGATTTGATGTCCTTGGAGAGACATATGGCCTAGGTCTGCCTCTTCCCCAGTGCTCCCTGCTCTCATGCTCTCACTCCCGCTGACCCACTTCAGGTCCCTGTTCCCTCCCCAGCTCCCGCAGGCACATGAGTGTGGCACCTCTGCTCCTTCTGCAGTCACGCTGTCCTCTGGGGAGGCACGGGCTGTGTCCATCAGCAAGATGAGCTGCAGGGTGGCAGAGCAGGCAGCTGGGAGGAAAGGGGACCATGGTGCACCTGATCGCTCCCTGCCCGGGGAGTGCTCTGTGTGTGTGTGTGTGTGTCAGACCTCTTTGGCCCTGTTTCTCCATCAGGATTCCTTTCTCAGTGACTCACACACCTGCTGGCCGAGGAAAGGGGACCATGGTGCACCTGATCGCTCCCCGCCCAGGGAGTGCTCTGTGTGTGTGTGTGTGTGTCAGACCTCTTTGGCCCTGTTTCTCCATCAGGATTCCTTTCTCAGTGACTCACACACCTGCTGGCCGAGGAAAGGGGACCATGGTGCACCTGATCGCTCCCCGCCCAGGGAGTGCTCTGTGTGTGTGTGTGTCTCAGACCTCTTTGGCCCTGTTCTCAGACCTCTTTGGCCCTGTTTCTCCATCAGGATTCCTTTCTCAGTGACTCACACACCTGCTGGCCGAGGAAAGGGGACCATGGTGCACCTGATCGCTCCCCGCCCAGGGAGTGCTCTGTGTGTGTGTGTGTGTGTCAGACCTCTTTGGCCCTGTTTCTCCATCAGGATTGCTTTCCCAGTGACTCACACACCTGCTGGCCCTAAGTGCCCAGGGTGCATTTCAGTGCCTGGAATGCCCCCGCCTCATCGTTAATGTGGGCATGGGCAGAGTATGCCTGCTGGTCTGGGAGAGTGTGTGCAGTGTGTGTGCTCACAGGTCTGAGCTCCTTAGGGCACTTGAGGGGCCTTCTGCACCCCCAGCACTCAAGGGCATCATACCCCAGCACAGTGGAGTCGAATAACCCTGTGTTTGGGCTCCTGAAAGGATAGCCAGCTGTTCCTCTGCCTGTCATTATGGTCACCTCCTTTCTCAGTACTCCATCCAATTTAACCCAAATCTGCCACACTCTCTCCTCTCAAGCTTATGGTTTCTCCCAGAACTCATTGCTTCCACATCTTTGTTCTAGAATGATGGACCTTTGTGCAAAGTAAATCTTACCTGAGGGTTCCAGTTACCTGGTAGCACAGTTTGAAAAAGGGTGAAGTAGAAGAAATTACCGTTTTGGACATTCCCTGCTAGAATGCCCTGTAGGTGTTAAAATGGGAGTGTTGCCTCCTTTTTTGGAGGGAGGAAGGGGCCCAGGCATGTGGGCCCTGAGCCTTTGGGCTGTTTTCTTTCTGGGGGTCGGAGCCCAGAGACGAGAGCTGGAGGGGAGCAAAGCCTCCCCCACCAGGTTCACTCTGGGCCAGCTCTCTGGACACACTGCTGAACATGCCAGTGACCTCTCCTGCCAGACCTTGAAGCCTGGAACCCCAAGATCTGAGGAATGTTTCTTTATCTTGATTTCCCAGGAGAGCCCTGATTTCTAATATCCCAGGTCCCCATCCTCCTCCAGGGGTGGGAAACTCAGCACCTCCAGGGGCCAGGTGGGTTATAAGTATGTGCAGGGCAGTGGGGAGTGGTGGGGCCTTTCTACCCAGCCTGCAGGCCTCAATTGCAATTCGAAAACAACTCCATGCTGGTGAATAAAATACAACTGAGAGCTGAATTTGGCCTGCAAACTGCACACTCCAGATTATTAAAGCCAATTAAAAAGTCACAGAATTTTCAACATCCTGGTATGCACACACTAAAACCCTGTTGTACCCGATTTTCAAGGTCTGGCAGACCAGGCATCCTGAATATTAGTTCTACGAAAGTCTCATTATATATGAAATAAGGATTGTGTCGGAATGGACTCCTGTCTGGGCCTTCTGAAACAGTCTCAGACTTTAAGATCAGAACAGAAAGCAGACAAATGATCCTGTCCAGTCTCCTTTTTTTAACTCTAAGAAAGTGAAGGAGGAAAAAAGAACCTATGGTGCTCCTTGGGATTTAGCCAAATGAGTTAAAAACTTACGTCCACACAAAAACCTACACACAGATGTTTATGGCGGCTTTATTCATAATTGCCAAAACTTGGAAGCAACCGAGATGTCCCTCCATAGGTTAATGGATAAATGAACTGTGGTCTTTTCAGACAACAGAATATTATTCAGCATTAAAACGAAATGAGCTACCAAGCCACGATAAGACATGGAGGAACCTTAAACGCATATGACTAAGTGAAAGAAGCCAATCTGAAAAGGCTACATACTGTATGATTCCAACTATATGACATTCGGGAAAAGGCAAAACTACAGAGACAGTAAAACGATGCGTTGCCAGGGGCTGGGGGAGGGAGGGATGAATAGGCAGAGGAGAGAGGATTTTTAGGGCAGGGAAACTACTTTGTGTGATACTGCAGTGGTAGATACATGTCCTTATATATTTGTCCAGACCCATAGAGTGGACCCTAATGTGAACTGTGGACTCTGGGTAACAGTGATGTGTCAGTGTAGGCTCATCGGTTGTGACAAATCTACCATCGTGGTGCAGGATATTGGTAGTGGGGGAGGCTGTGCATGTCTTGTGGGAGGGGTTGTATGGGAAATCTCTGTACCTTCCTCTCAATTTTGCTGTGAACCTAAAAATTCTCTAAAAAATAAAGTCTTTTTTAAAAAAAAGCTGTGCAATAGTGGTCAGCAAGGGAACCCAGGCACTCACCACTGGGCTCATTGTCCCCAGCCCTGCTAGAAGCCCCAGGCTGCAGTCAGGACGCTCACAGGCCCGCGATGACCATGCCTCCTCTCTCCCCAGCACTGCAGAGAGCGGCCCCGGTCCATGGTGGTCATCGAGGTGTTCACCCCCGTGGTCCAGAGAATCCTCAAGCATAACATGGTGAGTCCTCTGACACCCAGACCCCAGCGCCTGAGGAAGGGACATGAGGTCTCTGCCCCTCCCCAGCCTTCCGCTTCTCTGCAGATGTGGGGAATGGGGTTGGCCCAGCCTGACAGCCAAGAACCAGTGTTGGGATTCTTTGTAAGGAGTTTTGGGGGTTTTCTGCAGCCTGTTTTCCTTGACTATTAGTTTTTTGTGTTAAGTCAATGTGTAGATGAGAATAGCAAAAATACTGTGACTCAGGGAGAAGAGAAGAGTCTCTCAGGCTGGAGAGTCCCAAATAGTGTCTACAGATACTGCCCCTCAGGAGTGGAGCATAACTCCGCACTCAAGTGTGGACCGTGCACAGTGACCTCCAAAGAGCACAGGAGGGAAAGGGGGAGAAGAGGAACCCAACAGACACTGCTGCAGCCAGGTGGTCAAGGTCAACATCGACGGTGATAGTCTCTACCGTATGACAGATATGACGTGACAAAGGTGGCAGCTTACCTCCACGGTCTCCCTCCCGATAACCCATGACCCCATCCTAACCACAAGGAAAACATCAGACAAATCCCAATTGAGACACAGGCTACAAAATATGTGAGCAGCCCTTCTCCAAACTGTCAAGGTCATCAAAGGCAAGGAAAGTCTGAGAAACTGTCACAGCCCAGGGTTGCCTAAGGAGACATGATGACCAAATGTCATGTGGGATCCTAGATGGGATCCTGAGACAGAAAAAGGACATTAGGGGAAAGCCATGGAAATCTGAGTAAAGTATAGACTTCAGTTAAATTTTAAAAGTACAAAGGCAGAATTTAATTGCACACTTCAAGTAGACGGGGCACTTGTGATCTGTGTGGCCCGTTTGTGTTCTCTTGTCATTCCAGTGACAGCCGCAAATATCATTATTTTCTCCATATTCCATGAGGGGAAACAGGCTTAGCAAGGTCCACCAACTGGTCACAGGGGCCACAGCTAGGAATAAGAATAACTAATATGTATTCACAGATATGTATTGAACGCCTTCTTGGAGCCAGAAAGTGTGTGATGCTCTTTTAAGTGTTTATGCCATTAACTCTCTTGCCTGCTCTGTGATGTCCTTGGGCACAGGAGGAGCCTGAGACCCACAGAGGCTGGACAGGTTGCTCAGGATCTAATGAGCATCTGTGAGTTCTCATGAGGGGAGCTAAGGAGTGGGCAGGCTGTGAGTCCAGGACCCATTCCCACCCACGTGTTCTATTGAGCCAGCCACCAGCATGAACTTTAAAGTCACGTGGGCATGTGAAAACAACTCTGAATAAGAGTGTCCCGCAAACCACTTCATTTGTGATGTAGCTTGTCTGTCTGCATACCATGCCCCTGAAGAATACCATGCCCTACACTGCCTTCCCCAATCAAGTATGGGAGTGTGTGACACATGTCTCCCCTAGTCTCCCCATCTCACACTCATGGCAGACATCATTAATCAATTGCAGCACTCTTCCTGCAGAGCCAGAGATAGCTGCAGACTCTTTCCCCACGCACCATTCCAGGATGCCACTCCCAACTGAACCATGCTAGTAGTACCAGGGAATTCTGTGTACCATTCTCTACCCTGAGTAATTGCAAACCATAATTGAATTGTTGCTTATTTCTGAGATCTTTCTAGATTTGGGGTAAGTTCATTCCTTATTTTCTGAGCCCAGGGGAGAGGGACACCCCATGTGATTCTTTATCCAGGACAATGGGGGAGGTGGAGGGGAGGAGGACGTGGGTTAGACTCATCACAGGACCACACTGTGAGGCCTCTAGGAGTGCCGGAGTGTTCTCAGCATGATCTGGGCAAGGTTTGAAAGGGGCCCTTGGGAGCAGCTGTGCACAGTGTGTTTCTGGGTGTGACTGGGTGTTTCTGTGCTCCCGCGGGTCCCAGGTAGGTGCTGGCTTCACAGTTCTCCATCCACGACATGTTAAGGCTGCACACTCCTCAGAAACTCCTGGGGGGAGGGGGAATTTCTGCCTTTATTTGGGCTCTAATAGTTTCAAGGAGGGGCAATCTCTGGCATTGGCCAGCTGGCAGGGAAAGGGACCATTCAAGGTCCAGAGCAAAGGTTCTGGAGTTTGTCTAGTAAAGGACCTTAACTTGTCAATGACAGAACCACACCCCCAAGGCACACTTGAGGCAGGGTATGCCTCCCCAGGCACATAAACATTTTTGCATAATCCATGGTAGTCAATAAACTGTTTCGTAAGGGAAAAACTCAAATTTCAGACAACCTCCCAGGGACTTAACTGTATAGTGTCACCCTTGTATTTGGTTAGTTTTATGAGCCTGGAGTGTTGACCATGTAATAATTTTCTGGATAAAAATCAGAACAGCTCCAGGGCAAACCCAGGATTTATAGGATCTGTGGTGGCTTGGCAGAGACCTGGGACTCTCAGGCATGAACCCTCACTTCACTTGTAACAAACACCCTCTAAGTGATCCTAAGCATCTAGGGATGCTGTAAAGCATGGAGATCCCCTCTGGTGTTCTGGAATTTGGGGGCTTCCCCTGTTCTGAGTGCAGTGCTTGCAAATATGTCATGTGCCCCACTTCATGGGTGAGCTAACTGAAGCTTTGAGTCTCAAGGAGTTTTCCTCACTAGACCAAAATAAAGAGTAGATGTAAGAGGAAGCAGTCCTTTAGTATTTTCCCCCGCAGATTCAATCCAAACAATACATTGAACTGTATCATCAAGTATGACCATGTGTTCCAGAGCCCACACGCCACTCTTTGGAGTGTTCTTGTGGCAAAGAAGGTAAGAAGATGTGGTTGTGGTCCCTAGTGGACCACTGGGTAATCTGATCTCCAGCTTTCCAAGGGAGTGTATTTGACTCTTCCAAAGAGGCGAAGTGTCCTTCATCTGCATGTTGAAAGGCAACCAGACCCCTATGTAATGTTTATTCCCAAGGAAATGACTCGACTGTCCAGAAATCTAATAGCAAAGATGATGGTTACCTTGAATAAGGCTCAGTTGAAGCAGTTTTCATAGAATCATAAAACCCTAGAGGTGGAAGGTTGCTAGAGCTCGGTTCTTCCAGCCTGCGTTCCACCGTGAGGACAATGAGGCCCAGAGAGGGGCATGGCAGCCCAAGGCCACACAGCTTTCCTGTCACCCTCTTCCAGGAGACTAGGGGAGTCTGGGCATCTTCCTCAATTGGAAAGCAAGACAACCTCTAAGTCTTCTTTTTATAAAGCCTAATTTTCCAGCCAAGTACTCTGTGTGCGCATGCGTATGTATGCATGTGTTCGTGTGTTTCTCTGAACTTTTCCTCATGGATTCTGCTGCCCTCCTCACATAAAGGAATAACGACGAGGACCCTAGATCAGCCCCTTCGATGGTGGGGGAGGAAGGAGCAGGCCGCTCTGGAAACTCCCTCCTGGGAGCTGGCAGGATGGCGTGGTAGGAACACATTCTGTTCTGAGCTTTCGTGACAGACCTGCAAAGGAGGTCTCCTCTGCTTCTGTTTTATAGATTAAGGTCCTAGGTTGGGGTTGCTTTTTTTTTTTTTTTTTAATGGCTTCCACTGATGGGGGGACAGAACGATGAGTTTGGAGACCAAGTTTCCCTCCATTGTCTTGCTGGTCAGCCACACCATTTTTCCAGAGAGAGAGAGAGTTGGGGCAAGACCATGCTATGACTCGCCCTCCTGACTGTGGAGAACGCAGGGCTTGGGTTAGAGGCGCAGTTACTGGAGCTCCGAGCCTGGCAGTCCCCCGCGCCTCCAGTCCCTAACAGCGAACGTGGCAATGGACACAGGCAGCCACATGTGAAGGGTTCTTTTCTCTCTCTCCTGCATCGTCTGTCTCTTCCCTGACAGTCCCCAAGGCGCCAGCCACCACTGAGTGGTGTTCTTGGTTCCTGCCTTTCCACCTCTTAGCGGAGCCCTCTGCCACCTGCCCTGTTGACGCAAGACATTGGGGAAGCTGAAAAGACGTCAGTCTTCAATTATGTTACTCAGCTGGAACAGGCAGGGGTCCCTTTGTCCTTGGTCAGTGCCCCTTAATTAAGCCTCAGCCACAGATGTGGTGGATGGAGAGGAGCCAGCTCTGCTCCAGGGGGGAATGTTCTTCACGGCGGGGGGGGGACACATTCTGCCCACACCGGCCTGTCGCGGCTGCCTCCCCTGCCTTCCCTCCTTCAGATGACAGGCGTACACGCTGGCCCCACACACGCCTGCTGTCCCAGGCCGCATCACTGCACACGCATGCCCCTTCCACACGCTCTTCTCTCACACACACTCCTTCCACACTCACCTCGCATGCACATGTCCTTCCACACTCACCCCTCACACACGCCTCCTCCCACACGCACCTCACACGCACACCTCCTTCCACACGCACCTCACATGCACACCTCCTTCCACACGCACCTCACGCACACCTCCTTCCACATGCACCTCACACGCACACCTCCTTCCACACGCACCTCACACGCACACCTCCTTCCACACGCACC